CCGTTACTGCACCCGGTAACCCACTTAAAGCTGGGTCAACCTAGGAGCCAATGTCATATTTGAAAAAAAATCCGTCTCCGCCAGGGAGCGAAATATATATATATATATATATATATATATATATATATATATATATATATATATATATATATATATATATATATGTGTGTGTGTGTTTATATTTCTACAGCCCAAGCGCCCCCTTCCCTTCACACTGATTATTTATGTCTCATTTTACAGTTGCAATATTTATGTCTCATTTTACAGTTGCAATATTTATGTCTCATTTTACAGTTGCAATATTTATGTCTCATTTTACAGTCGTAACATACCAAATTCGATTCACATTTATGTGATTTGTCAGGAGACTACATTACATGGATGTCTACAATGGCAGGAACGTTGACCGTTCACTTACGGTAAACCATTGAACATACACTTGGCAAGTGAAACCGCGAACGGTCAACAAATGCTGGGCTGGTTTACCTAGTCCAGTAAAGGATATGCAACGAAACTTGAGCAAGTAAAATGTCTTCCTTTAGCGCAATCACTTGTAAATAAAAACACAACGCGTGCTTGCCACGTGGCACAAAACAACCAGCCTACTGCGCTGGGTTGATAAATGTGCGTACAGCAATATCCGTTCGTCTTGTACGGTTAAATGGTGCTTGACAGGCAAGGAAAAAAAAAGATTGCGTTGCGTTTTATAGTCAGGTAACGTCAGTTCTAACTTTATAGAAAATAAGTCACCTCCATAGTTGCTCCGTACTTGTGCCAACTAAAACCACATAGAAAAGGAAAAAAAGAAAAAAAAATTAAAGTTGTAAATTGCAACAGAATAAAGGACCCCCTTTTTCTCGTCTTCAGGCGTATTTGGCATATAAGTAAACAAAGTGAAGGACCCTTTCCCACGCCATATAGGGCATATAGGGCTAGACCTATATTTTTTATAGACTTTTTGGCACTTGGCGGGTGATGTGTTCAACATCACGCCGGTCGCCTTTACTTCCCAGGACTGCACCTTTGTACTCACTCAAGACTGGGTCGATCTGGAAGCCAAATTTTTTTTAAAGACAGCCTGGTTCCGTCAGACTAGAACACACGACCTTCCAAAACGCAGGCGAACATCTAGCCGCTACACTACGGCAAGGTGTCAACAAACATAGTCCGTCACTAGAAATGCATTTCATGGTCGATAGAAGCAGCAGTTGCAACAGATCAGTAGTTGCACGCGCAATAATCATATAAGGCGCCGCCAGTTCTCTCTCTGGCTATCCATGACCGACTTCAGCTGACGGGCCGTGCTGCTGAAGTCACAGGGTCGGGCTAACAATGCGTTAACGCAGCGGTTCTCAAACTGAGTACTAAGGCACCATGGTGTGCTGTTAGCGTATGCCAGGGGTGCCGCCACAATAATCAAGAAAAGACAGCTAAAAATTGTGAAATTATTAAAGGCATGTAGATACTTAAAATTAAAATTTAATTTGTCTTCTATCGCCCTGTCAAAAAATAGTTTATTTCTTGTTTGAGTTAACGCATCGTTAGCCTGACCCGGTGACGTCAGCAGCACGGCGGCCCAACAGCTGGAGCCGGTCGTGGGCTATCCAATGTAAAAGTCAAGAGCCCGTTAACGCCAATGTCAATTTAAGCAAATGATGCTGGAGTCATATTCTTATAAACAATTGGCATTCGATTGGGGGTGTGGTCAGACACCACAAGGGCCGCCTTAACTTTCCAGGATATTACCTTTTAAGCCCAGGCTGACCTTAGGGTCAAGGTTAATTCTGAACAAAAATGCCAACAACCTTAGGATCCACAGTCGAGCGTCTAGCCACTACACCAAGGCCTCATAATCTAGTATGGCTCGGTGTGTTTCAGTAGCTCCGATGGTAGTGCCCAGAAAGTGTATTAGAAAACAAGAGACTCTGCCGTTACCAGGAGAACTTTCAGTTTGTAAAAATGGGAGCACTAAGGCGGAGACAGAAACCCACGACTTTAAGACCGTGAGGCGAACAGCCTGACTGCCTAGAAATCTCTCTCTCCCAGACTTGTTTGTACTAAGTAAGTAGTAAGTCAGTAAGGCAGTAGGTCAATCAATAAGTCAGTCAGTAAGTCAGCCAGTAAGCCACCTAGTCAGTAAGACAGCAAGTAGGTCAGTCAGTAAGTAAATCAGTAAATCAGTCAGTAAGTCAGTAAGTAAGCCAGTCAATAAGCCAATCAGTAAGCAAGCAAGTAAGTCAGTAAGTTCGTCAGTAAGTCACTCAGTAAGGAAGTCATTTAGTAATTAGGTCAGTATGTAAGTAAATAAGTCAATCAGTAAGTCAATTAGTAAGTCATTCAGTATGTAAGTCAAAAAATCAATCAGTAAGTAAGTCAATAAGTCAGTAAGTAAGTTAGTCAGTAAGGAAGACTGTGTGTAAGTCAATAAATCAGTCAGTAAGTAAGTCAGTAAGTGAATCAGTAAGCAAGTCAGCTAGTAAGTAAGTCAGTATGTAGAGCAAAAAATCAATCAAAAGGTCAGTCAGTAAGTAAGTCAGTAAGTAAGTCAGTCAGTAAATCAGTCAGTAAGTAAGTCAGTCAGTAAGTAAGTCAGTAAGTCCACACAAAATAAGTGTTGTTTATTTGGGTTCATCGGGTGCTAACCCTGGCCGAAAGTCCTGATTGTTCGTCCATTTCTGGACTTTGGCTTTGTTTCAGTTTTGTGCGTGCATCCGTTTTACAGATCTAGCTTATTTGTATGCAGACTGTTGTTTCCTTGACTCATGGGAACTTGCATTTTGACTTCGAAGGAAACACGCCTAATTAGTAGACTTTTACGACATGCTTGCTAATAGGGATGAGACAGTGGATTTATCACACCCCCTCCTCCCCCCCCCCCCCCCGCCACTTATAAAATGGTTGAAGGAACCCAAAGTCAGGGATTCGTGAGTCAAAGTTTCAACATAGCTGCAGACTGATAGCCCCACAATTGCTATGTTTCTGTGCCAGTAGAAACAACATAGAAGTATTCCCCACTGTTCTATGTAAAAACTAGCGAAAGACTTGTCAGTCCCTGCAAAAACTTAAAGCTTGCCTGCGCAAAGTAAAAATGCCCCCACTGTTCTATGTAAAAACTAGCGAAAGACTTGTCAGTTGCCTGAGCAAAGTAAAAATGCATAGCCTGGTGTCAGATATATGCCAACACTAACGGTCCCACACCAGAAACAAGATAAGGGTAAATCAAGAAGACCGGCATTGCACCCAAACGACGAAAGTACACACGGCATTGAACTTAATCGGCCACTTGCCATTTTAGTACAGACACACAAAAAAAAACTCATTCCCATGAAGTCAACAGCTCACAGTGTGGCACGATCGTCTCAGTAGCTGGGACACGTTCAGTAAGTAAGTTAGTAGGTAAGTATGTCAATAAGTAGGTCAATAAGTAAGTCTGTAAGCAAGATATTCAGTAAGTAAGCCAGTAATCAATCAGTAAGCCAGTCAGTAAATCAGTCAGTAAGACAAACAGTAAGTCAGTCAGAAAGTCAGTCTGTCCAGTCAGTAAGTAAGATAGTAAGTCAGTCAGTACGTCAGCCAGTCAGTAAGCCGGTCAGTCAGTAAGTCAGTCAATAAGTAAGTCTGTAGGTCAGTCAGTCAGTTAGTCATTAAGTCAGTCAGTAATTCAGTCGGTCGGTCAGGAAGTAAATCAGTAAGTCAGTCAGTCATTTAGTCAGTCATTCTGGCAGTCATTCTGTAAATCAGTAGTCAGTCAGTCAGTGCCTAGTTATAAACTAAAGCACAACGTTCAAACCGTCCCTTTATCCCGAATAAACGCAGACAAAGAAAAAGACGATGTTTAGCTCCTTTGGACCCAACATTTATAAGTGTAAAAAAAAAAAAAACCAGCTGCTTCATATAGGACCGGTTAAGGCTGCAACGGTGCTGGATTGATAGATTTGGTACTACTCATGCAAGTAACCCCATTTAGTCAGCTGCGAGATTTCCTAGCGGTTCCCGCAGGCTGTCCTGTGTTATCTATGAATGAGTGTTATGAGATGTTTTCCTTTGCAGTCTGTACATAGTGTGCCGAAAAGTCAACACACTGTCTTCCAGACAAAAGTGCGCAGCTTTCTTTTCACAACTATCTTTTCTGTGCACGACTGTTGTTTCTGTGTTGTTCTTGAGAGTAGATTTCATGTTTTTATTTTTTATTTTTACGCTCACTGACAGTGGCAGCTGTCGGTGTCGAATGTGCTTAAAATGTTCAGAACAAGAAACACATAACATCCCTAGACTATGTCCCCGTGAAATCGCCTGCGAAATCTTGCAGCCGAAGAGATGGAGTGAGTTTCGTGAGTTGTATCAACGGTTTAAACATAGCTTCAGTTGATATTCCATTCGTCAGAAGATATAGAAAAATTCAAAATTTCATTCTTGAGTTAGAGTTCAGTACGAAAACTATTATCGTACCATAATTACTGCTGCATAGGAACACTACTATAACTATAGCCACCATAGTGAAGCGGCTAGAAACTCGCCTGAGGATTAAAAGGTCGTGGTTTCATGTTCTGACAGAGCCGAGTACTATTCAGGGAAGTAAAGGATACCGGCGTAATGCTGACCACATTATTCATTGCGTGCCGATTGGTCCATGAAACATATAGGTCCAGCCCTAACTGCCCAATAAGCTGAAGACGTGGATAATTGTATTTAAAAAAAAAAAAACTATTATTAAGACCAGACAAATGTCACCGCTACTACAGCTAATAATACTACCACTACTACAGACAATACTACAACCACGACTACTACCACTACCATCACTACTACCACCAATATTGCTACTACCACAATTACTGCCGCCACTACAACTGCAACTACTAACACAGGTATGAACGCCAGTTGGATAGTTTTTAAATAAGTTATAAAAAGAGTAAAACCAAATCACTAGTCATGAACCAAATGCACGTTGATCTTCAATTCTTTATATCAACATTTAGAGAAGTCCAGTACTGCAAACATTAGTTCAACTTCGACATATATAAACGCCAGTCTGTATTGTTTTCAAACGATGTTGGCGTAGCAGTTAAATAACTGAACTGAATACACTCACAAATTGAAGGATTACTCTTCACTTGAACGGCCGTGACCGTTCCATTTTTGATCTTAAGACACTGCGAAGTGCATTCCAAAACACTTCGGACTTTGTGAAAAACGGCGAAGGGAGCCAATGTCAGCTTTTTGTTTGGCATGGATTGAAACTGCGTACCGTACATCTGCTTGCCAGATACATTTGTGGCAAAGACTTCTAGCTCACAGATTGCCAGTGAGCTGTTTGCGGGTTTAAACACAGTCAGATATCGCCCTGTGATAGGTTTGATGCAACTGATGACTTGTGAAGCATTACCTGGTATAGCCGGGCCACGATAGAAGCACTTTTCCCCGGGTAGCTTGGCTGGAAAGCCCGGGTACCACAGTGGATTGTTCATGGACACTTGAACAGTGAAGTTGGCGAGGCGTTCTGGGTTGGTTATTCTGTTGGTGATGTTCACTGATTCGACGATGTATTCTTTGAGAAAGTCCACCATCCACCAATTGTTCCTGGGATCAAATGTAATAATTAAAAACCATTAACATTCAGATCATAACTTGTGGCAAATACTTTCACAACAACAACTATGATCCAGGCTTTCTAGTAGTTAGTCTTTCCTCTTTAGCCTAGGGTGGCACATAGGCAGAGGCCATAGCTCTTCATGTCTGGCGGCTCACTGCCACCTGCTTAAAGTCGTGGATGTTTTTTAGGCCTATGGTTGAGCCTTTCCTGATAACCGTTCTACGCAGTCTCTCTTTGTCTTCCCCGTTTTCCTCTCCCTTCCGGTGTCCATATTAGGGCTTGATGGGAGAGTGGTCTTATCGATTCTTTCATGAGCTGTTTAGCTGTAGCGGAGCTTTCTTATAAAATTGCATACATTTTCCTGCATCGTCTCTTATTTGCCAGTTGGATCTGAAATATGTCCAGTGGAGATTCTATATTTTTCTAAGACATTAGTTCTTAAAACTGTCCTTTAAAAAAATATATATAGCTACCGTTGCTTTCCAATCTCGCACCCATACGCTGGCATTCGAAGCACACAAGAGTTGAACATCTCAATAGGTTTCGAAAGGGGTGATAGCTCGAAGACAACTTATCACAGACATCAGAAGGAGAAAAGCATTATTTTTTGGCCATGTTATGAGAAGAGGAAAAATAAATCATGTTGTGACCACTGGTAAGATCTGTGGAAGGAGGGATAAAAGAAGACAACGAGAGAAAATTCTTGACGGTCTTGTTGCATGGCATGGAGGTGTGTCAGCACACGAACTGATACACGATGCAGAAGATCGCTGTGGAGAGGCATTATCGCCCACGACTGTCGGCAAGGCACCTGATGATGATACTTATATGCCTAGACACAAACTACAACACAATATGTCTACCACCAGCCTAAAAAGCTAGGTGAAATATCGTGTGTGTTGCTTAAAGTACGATCTTGCGACATCTTCTGCTGTCGCGATGGTTGCATGTATGTTTTATAATACAGACATTTTAACAAATGTTAAAAATATTCAGTATCATCATCTTCATTAATTTTGACTGGGGGAGGAACAATTTGCGATCCATTGTTTGATGGGCAGCAATGGCTTATGTCATTCCTTCTCGATGCAGAAGCTTTTTAATGTCATCAGTCAGATATTCCAATGGCAGCCTCTTGGTTTTACATCAGATCTGTTCAAGTGTACTGCTGAATGTCTTTGACTTCCAGATGTTAGGCTACTCGTAGACGTAGCATACAAATGGGTACGAGGTGAAATTCAATAAGTTAAACGCCACGTAATGTTGAACCCCTACTCAGAAAGTAGTGACTGATATAAATATAGTAAAGTAAAAAGTAAAGGACCCTTTCGCACGCCTTTAGGCGTATAGGGCATATAGGGCTAGACCTACAGTTACATAGACCAATCGGCACAAGATGGGTGATGTGTTCAGCATCATACCGGCCGCCTTTACTTCCCGGAACTGCACCCGGTACCCACTCAAGGCTGGGTCGACCTGGGAGTCAAGGTCATTTTTGAAAATAGTCTGGCTAGGCCAGGGAGCGAACTCACAACCTTCACGCTCGGCCATGGCGATTCCCGGTATAAATATAGACCCAGCACTAAAAGGGCCTGCGGATCGGAAGGTCATAGGGTCGCTCCCTGAAGGAGCAGGACTTTTATTAAAAAATGATCTTTATTTAAGAATATCATGCAAAGAATAAATTGAGTGGGTAGGAAAAAAAAAGTAAGCTTTGGAGGTGAGGAAGGGGTTTTGGTTGGGGAGAGGGACGACAAAGAGAGGGAGAGGGAAACGGAGAGTCGTGTGTGTATGCGTGTGTGTGTGTGCGGTGCGCGCGCGCGTGTGTGTGTGTGTGTTTGAGTGTGTGTGTGTTTGAGTGTGTGTGTATATGAGTGTGTGTGTGAGTGTGTGTGTGTGTGTGTGTGTGTGTGTGGTGTGCACGCGTATGTGTCTAAGAGAGAAAGAGGTCGGACTGTTTGGTATCACGGTAAGGAGAATCTTATATATTAGAAAAAAAAAAGAATTTTGAATTGAGTTCCAATTTTGATTATTGTTTTTAAAATGGCTGAGAGTACATGATGTACAGTGAGGTACACAGACATGAACAACACTCCAAGGCATTGCCAGTAAGCAGAAGTAGAAGTAGCATGGCAGCAACAACAACAGTAGTAGTGGTAGTAGTTGCTGAGTAGTTGTTGTAACCATTGCAGTAGCAGCATTAGTAAGAGAATAGTAGCAGGTATGGTAGTAATAATTTTTGTATTTCAAGGAGCTGAAGCTATTATTTGGAATCCTTAGCGAATTAAAACAAACATGTATTGGAAGTAAAGGCAGCTGTCTTAACGTTGGAGCTGTGCTACCACTGTGTCTTGAGTAAAAGAGCTCTATGTGGCGCACTGTTTTGTGGTAGTTTTGACACATGTTCGAACCATTCGACGTGAGACTAAAATTAAAACATGCACACATCTGTACTCCCTGATTTTTTTTGCATACTCTATTGCAGCTGTGTGAGTGCATCCATAATGAGCCAGATTTGTCTGCCCGTCAACGGCCAGGTGAGAGCCAGTGGGACCGTCCGTAATATATGTGTCAATCTGTTTGGTTGGTTTTCCTCTGGCCACATTGATGTAGCCATCACAGACCGCTAACAGAGCAAGAACAAAGAACAGCGTTTTAATGATGTTTGACATTTTCAGGGCAAACTTGCAAGTCAGAGGTCTTGTTGAAGTTGTTCATTTATTTTTATCCAAAATAACATATCAGAGAAATATGTTTTTTTGTGTATTGGCTCATGAGGCTTATGAACGTTGTTTAACAATTCTGACAATTTTATAATTGGCTCGATGTAACTTTGTAGCAGGCCGCTCTACACTGATTTCGGCTATGATATGATCCTCGAACTGTTCAAAAGCAATGGCAAACTACTGAACGTAAAATTGTCCAGTAAAACTTGCAAACTCTGTGATTGGTTTGCAACGTCCTCCAAAAGATATCCGGAAAACTTAAAAAACATAAAGATGAGTTCCCATGATGTCCCTTCTACAAGGCTGCTGACGGGAATTTTCTTTTAAAATCCTGCACGCTTGTTCCTTTGCCAGACTTTTGTTTTCTGGGGAGTAAAAAGATATATATATATATATATATATATATATATATATATATATATATATATATATATATATATATATATAAAGCAGTAGTTGATTAAGTAATGTTGTCTCAGTGGCAAAGCGGCTAGACGCTCGACGCGGATCGGAAGAGTAGGCTCGCTCCCTGGCTGACCCGGTTTTTTTCCTTAAAAAATTACCTTGGCTGCTTGTTCATATTCCCTATTTATGCATTAGGAATAAACTCACAGGGAGCAAGTACAGGAGGGATCTACCAGTCGTCAGTAGAAATTATCCTCGTCGACAAGTGTTTCGGCCCACGATTCCTAGACACTTTCGGAGGTGGGCCCACCTGAGTTCATGAAGCTCAGTGCTGGTACCCTGCTGCACGAAATTACAGGATGGTGTTTTTCTTTCGGATAGGGACAAGACGACTTGGTGGTTTGCAGAAGGTACTGTGAGATAAGAAGTCGTCGCGGCAGCCTAATTAAAGCAGTCAGCATACCTGGACGACCGAGCGACAAGCTTACGATTGGTTTACCGGACACTTTTACTAGCAGGTGGCAGAGGATCACTGGCAGACAATTCGGACACGATGGACTTTCAAGGGGTGAGAAACCCTTTTCCGCTAGACACCCGGACCAGCTCACCGAGGCCCGTCCCTACGTTGTTGCGTTGCGTCCAAAGCCAGCTCGAGGCCCTTTCAGCTACCTCGCCCAGTTTTTTAAGTGCTCGTTTCCGTTCATTACCGCGCAATCCTAGTCTCTCATTCTCCCGACCTCACTATCACATCTACTGGCACATTCGGGCAAACTGACCTCTCATTTGCAGTCTATCTTACCTCCACTACTTCTCCACACTCCGTGGGAAAAAAAAAAAAAAAAAAAAAAAAAAAAAAAAAAAAAAAAAAAAAAAAAAATTTTTGTTTTTTTTTGGGCCGATCACAACAACAGATTGTGACGGCCCTGTTTGTCCTGAAAAGGAACATTGTTTGTATCGATGGAGCAACGGATATTTGTTTGGCTTTTTCCGGCGGCTTTTAGATCGGCAACCAAGCAGCAACAGGGCACCAGCACAGCGACCAGCACGAGGCAAACCAAGCACCAGCAACAGTCAGCTAGTACCCTTCAATATCATCGCAAAGAGATCTGGATCACACCAGAACCCAAAACCGCAAACAACGCAGCACAGCAAGGAAGCAAACAACAATAATATCAGGTGTGTCTACACACCACAAATAAAAGGAAACCATATAAGACAGCAAAGGACCCTTCTTCGATATAGCAGGCCCTCGGGCGGCTGAAAGAGGATCAAGTTTGGAATTTTTCTTGGACAACTGGCAATGGCAATTCTTTAACCACATTATAGAGCGAAGTGGAAACGAGGCCTCTCGCTCCCACTTCGACGGCAAAGACCCGTACTGTGTACGCCTCGTTTCTCCTCAGACCAGCTGCTAAGTCACAATATTTCTCGAGCTTTTATGTGTGACTCTCGTCCATACGCGACTCATACGGGACGGTCAACTCAATCGGGATGAGCTGCCGTTTCTGCGCAGAGTGGAGAACTTTGTCAGTTCGCAGGCCGGTCTTACGAATTAACCTTTCATGGCCCGGCAGATCAACCGCCAGTAACCAGTCCCTCGCAGAGTCTGGCACAGATGGAGCGAATGCGTTTCGGTTGACCTTACCTTTTGGAATCTGCCCAGCCTTGAGGAAACGTATGGGGACGATGGTAGAACTGGCTCTGGCGTTAGCCCTCATTCTAGCCTGGTCAAAAATGGCAGCTAACTCTTTTAGCACCTTGTTGTGACGCCAGGTATATCGGCCTTGGCCTAGGGCTTTCCTGCAAACGAACAGGACGTGTTCAAGAGTCTGCTTCGCTCTAC